CCCCCCCCCAATAGCTAGCAATCCAAAACAATCCAGTGGAGCCTGAGTGGTGGGTGTTGCCTTCTTACACACTTCCAGTGATATCATGGGGTGTGGCATATGCAAATAAGTTATGCTAATAAGTTATGCTAATGAGCTCCTGCACCTCTTTTTCTACGAAATGACCCCTGTCAGCATGTATTCACACTTACCACTGTTTAAAGAGTAATTTCATTCCCACAGTAAGTAGTTTGCTTTGGTTGCTTATCCAGAGAAAAAAACTATTGTCTATTTGTCCTAATTTCTCTCTTTTTTAAAAAAAGAATAGCACTGAAGTAGTTACTCTGAATAATCAGAACAGTTTGCACTATTATTTCGACTAATGTCCTAGGGACACACAAAACCAATGCTGGGCTTGTCTGCCAGAACACCAGTGGCTTGTGCCATAATGCAGGGCTGACTAATTACAAAGTAATCTTTAAGAAACTTTTTGGTTTTCAGGACAGAAACTTTGTCAATAAAAGTCAGTACATATACCTGCTCAACCAAGGACACAAGCTATAGGTTTTGGGGAGGTGGGGCAGTAAAGACATAGTCCTGGAAATAGTTGTTTACACTCTTAAGTTTTAAGTTCCTGGTTTTCCAACACCTAGCTTGTGCCTTGGTCTTTAATACCTAGTCTGTCCCTTGGTTATTAACACCTAGCCCGTGCCAGAGGAAAATCTCGAGCAGAGTGACTTCTAGATGATGCACTGAAATAAGCCATCTTGAATAACTGTCTTCAGCACCTTATGAAACTGTTTTAATAATGTATTGTTTTATACGATATTATGTTGTTTTAATTGTATTAACGCACTGATTGTGAGCCACCCTGAGCCTGCATTGCAGGGAGGGCATGGTATAAATGTGATTAATAAATAAATAAAAATAAGTGAATATTATTTCTGCTATTCTGCCTAGAAAGACTTTGATACCCAGCTGTGTAAGCATCTCATGGACTTGAGACCTTATCTCACTTCAGCCTGCTTGAGAAAAGAACGAAATGACAATAAAAATCTAAATGAAACAGGGGGGAAAGTATAGAAATGACAATTGGGAAGTTACAAATTCTTGATCAGAAGCCTATATGCCTCAATTATGCAAAAAGAAATCAAACTGGCAAAAGGTCCAACAATCAAATTTAAAAGACTATATAACATTCTCATTACCACCATCAATATGTACAGAATAAGAACAAAAAAAGCAGCTTTCTACCCTGAGAAAGTTAGTTTGACACACAGAAGCAATAAAGAGAGGAAGCGAAGATGGCGGTAAAAGAAAATGGAACAAATATTCATACAGTTCAAGTTTTTTTACTTGGGCATAATTTCAGTTGTGGTTGTAACCAAAGGCATTCCTTAAGGGAGAGCACAGGAAAAAGGGAGCATGACATTTGAGAATGGTACAGCTGGAGGAGGAAATATCTGGACAAGGGCATATTGGGATACACGGCAGATAAATAAAAGGAACCAAGACCAAAGAGGGTTTTGAGGTAGGACTGCCATATGCTCACTGGGGGAGGGAAATCTTCTGCCCTCAACAACTGCCAGCACTCAAAGGGTCAACAGGAAACAGGAAAAAATTTTTAAACCCACTGTTGATAACAGTGTGATGTCATTGCTGGGAAAATGCCAGATGTGATGCCAGTACACTCTAGGAATCACCAGAAATATGGTGAAATGGGAGAATTTTCAGTGATTCCTACAAAGGTACAATGTCACTTCTGGGTGGGGTTTTCCCCCTGGAAGTGACATCATGTCCTAACAAATAAATTCCGAAGGTAAGAATTAAGAGTTTGTGCTGGATTTGGGAGTGCACAAGAAGCCAGCGTAGGGATTTAATGATGAGCATAAAGTGGACTGAGCAATAAGAAAAATGAACAATTATAGAAGCAGAGTTCTAGAGAGAGACACAAGAAGGATGCAACACAAAAATACATCATTTCATCCTTCACATTAGCACCACCTATACTTAACAGTACTCTGTAGTCTTTCATTCTGCCACACAAGCTACTGAAGGAGCATGCTGTCAAATAAACATTTAAGATGAAGCAGGAACAAGTGCAGAGTTGTGATTTGTGGGGTCAGGCTCATGTGATACTCTAGGACGTTGCATCAATGCAAAACCTTCCATGCCAGCAATAAACACAGCATAGCAGTTTTATACATTGCATAGGATACAGAGGCGGGATGAGTGCATGCAGGGGTCGTTTCGTAGAAAAAGAGCTAGGGGAACTCATTAGCATAACTCATTAGCATATGCCACACCCCCTGACATCACCGTAAATGTGTCATAAGGCCACACCCCCTGACATCACCGGAAGTGTGTCATAAGGCCACACACCCCGCCCCCAACGGTCCCGGCCACCGCCGCCGGCCTTGCAGCTCCACTGCCGAGCCCCATGAGGGGCCCGGCGGTGGACCTGCAAGGCCAGCGGGAGTGCAAGGAAGCCCCGCGAAGGCCCTCCCCCCCATACATCACCCAGGGGAACTGTGATCCCCCACGATCCCCCCCAAAATGACCTCTGAGTGCATGTCAGGAAATGACTTGCTATCAAGGGAAGCTGAAAAAGCAGCCAACACAAAGCCAGGTGCAAGAAGAGAACCATACATGCTCAAAATTGTCATGTTTTAGCTTCTCTGGGAAGGCTCACTGGAAACATCTTAACATACCCTGCTACAGTGTAACTCCAGCATCATATTGTTGTAATCTTATGAATTACCATAGGTCAACAGCCAATTGCAAGTCTTTGTCTGCATTTTATAACATGGGTATGGTCACATCCGTATTCCCTCCATACCACATTAAGAGCATTGGGAAATGGATGCAGAAAGCACCATTCTGATGGTTGCACTGGATGAAAAAGCACCAATATATGTAATGATTTAACATTTTTATAATCTGCTTCTAGAAAAAGCACTGTTTTATGATACTCATTTTAAGCTGCTCAGTGTTTCATGCAGTTTTTATACTATACATAGAAGTTTAACATTGGGTTTTTAATGTCAGGTTTTTAATTGTTAACAATTTATAAGGTGTTTTATGTTTTCTGTGCTACCTTGAGAATGTTTTCAGTACAAAATTTTCTAAATAAATCAATCTCTTAGTTAAGCTTTGTTCAAAAATACATATACCCCCATAAATTAGTATGAATTCATATCTGCATCGTCAGTTTGGGAACAAATTTTAAAACAAATAAATCAAAACACTCATAGTTACCCAAGTTTACTATGTAAAGATGTTTCTTTAAAAAATAAAACTTTACTACTTAAACGTGTCTAGCTCAACACTATCAATGTAATTGCTTGTTAATTTTAAGCAGATTAACAGTCTCAAGCATTTCTTCAAGATTTTTCTGTGATGCAGGATCTAAAAATGGATAGATCTCTTTAATCAACTAGTAAAGAACAATTTGTTCCCAAAATCATATTCACATTAAAAAAAAAAAACTATGGAGCCAGACATACATTTTTCAGTCTAAAGAAATCAACAGTTTGGGTAGAATTTTCCATACAAAATTAGCCTAAAGCCAGATTTTAAAGTGTGGCAGAAGGTTGATGGTTTAATGTCAACTGGAAAAATGCACTGTAGTTCTAAACATATCTAAAGAACTTCATATACAAAATACAAGAATCAGATACAGCCTAACTCATGATTCTTACAGTGACAATGACACAATGCTAGGCAGTTTACCCATTTTAATACATTTCTACTACGAGCATAGTGTTTTGACAACTGCAAGCTTCAATAAAGGTAAAGGTTTCCCTATATCTTGCATAGGTTTGGGGTGGAGCCTGGGGGAGAGAAGAGGGACTGAAATATCTTACAGACATGTACAGGGAAAAACACCCTGCCTATATGTACTGTTGCCAGTGCTGCATTACAGAGTCCTTACCACACCCTCTCTTCCAAGGGGGGGGAAAAATATAGAAGCCTCCATTCGTCCTTGAGCCCAGGAAATACTGGCTCAGAACAACCAAGGAACTACCTGCCTTCATCTAATTTGCACTCAACCATCATATCCATCTAGAGGCAACATTTTAAAAAATTATTTACAATTGTTGTTGCTTTCTACTTCCAACAAGAGGAAGAAGCTCACTGCTAAAAGATTATTATTTCCAGTTTCTAAACAGCAATTCTTATGAGAGCATCTATATCCTCCTGAGGAAACTTGTCCTCTAGCCAGAATGGAGCAAATCTGGCATCTTGAGCTATTGCAAAAGAGAGATGGAGAGATAAAATAAAATGCAGTGATCATGATTCACTTGCCCTGTTTTCTTTAGTCCTCTAAAAGAAAAAGCCCAAAAGCACTTAATAAGCTGCTTAGCCATTTTGAGGAAGGGTATGAAAAATAGCTAATGTTCAAAAATTACGAACAGGGGTTTGTGCAATACCTCGGCATATGCGCTGACTGAGTCTTGCTTTCTGGAGAAGATGGCAGAGGTACAGCCACTATTCATAAACCACACGCTCCAGCTCCCGACATCATTACTGACCAGTTAAAGCACCACTACTCAACGCTTCCTATTTTCTCCGGCTTTTCCTCTTGCGGTTGCAATGCTTTTTGCGACTTTAGGTTGTAGCCAGGTTATTTCCCACTTCGCACCGCTCCTTTCACAAGGAAGGAAGGGCACTGCCATGTACCGGAGAATGGGTGCGAGAACAGATCCCCAGCATGGAGGGGCCGCGGGCGCCACAACGCTGTGCCCCTTCCCCCCAGATTTATTTATTGCTGATTTATTTTCTCGTGACGACAATATCCCCCTTCTCCTCCAGCCCCCCCCCCCACACCTTTTTGAGTCGCCTCCAGCTGGAAGGAGGCAGAGCGCGCCGTGCTATCGGCAGCCCTGGGGTCAGGCAGGCCGGGGGGGGGGATTCTCTGGGAAGAGGGCTCGCCCCCGTACATACACCGCCCCTAAGCAATGAAGTGCGAAATGGAGAAGCCGAGAGCAGCGCAGAGCCTCTGCCTGCCAGCCACTCACCTCCCCCTAAGGCCGCGTCCCTCTCCTTTGTTTGGCTTCCTCTTTGCTTGTTGCTGTCCCCTCTCGTCGGTTTGCGTTTCGGCTGCACGGTAAGCAAGTCCCCTCCTCGCAGCTCTGGGGATGGCGAGCCAGAGGCTGCTCCGAGCCTACTCTGGCTTGGGGGCTGCCGCCGCGCTCCCTCCCTTCCTTGCACTGAGCTCTGCAGCTACTAGTTAGCTCTGCCTTCCGCTCCGGCTCCGTAACAGGCGCCTTCCGCGCAGAAAGAGCTACCCGGGTGGTGGCAGATGGAAGCGGCGGCGGCGGCGGCTCCGGGTGACTGCCGTCCCTGCCTGAGCTCCCCGGTAGGAGGGCAGGGGCGGAACCTAAGCAAGGCCCTGACACAGAGAGAATGCCCCTAGAGAACTACAGAAGGGCTGGGATCGCCAGAGCGCTTCGGGGGACTAAAAGAGGGCCGCGCATGAGCAACGTGGGAGCCGAGAGGGAGAATGAGCAGCAAGCAGGGACTAGGAGGGCTCCAATCAACTGCACTGGGGCGGGGATGCTGTCAAATGGCAATGGCACCAAAGGATGGGAACAAGCAACAGACTATGGCATGTCTGCACGACGAACATTAAACAGGTTTAATTGGGCATCGCTTCCCCCACAGGATTCTGGGACTTGTAGTTTTAGACAAGGATTCAGAGAAACCTTCATTCCCCCATAAAGCTTCCTAAGCTTGTCGGCGGAAGCATGACTGCCACCGTATGCTGATTAGGTAGATATCATATGCCAAATTGCTTTCCTGCGGCAAAGCGTTGGCTTATTGGTTCCAATACACACCTTCCTCTCCACTTTGTTTTAGTCATTTACTGAAGGTGAAGTGGGCAGAATTATCCTATGAGGACTGGTTACCAACCTCCAGGTGGGGGCTGCAGATGTCCCAGAATTACAATTTATCTCCAGACGACAGAGGCCAGTTCCCCTGGAGAAAATGGCTACTTTGGAGGGTGGCCCCTATTGCATTATACCTTACTGAGGTCACAACCCTTCTCCAAACTCCATCCTCCCCTGACTCTGCGCACAAAATCTCCAGGAATTTCCCAGTCCAGAGCTGGCAACCCTAGCTATGAAAATCTAGACTGGATCACTTCCTTCAGCAGGTCTGTCTCTTGACCAGTCTTCCTTGCACTCCGGTCTCTTATGTCACAGCTTGTCCAGTCCTTCAGCTCTCCAAGAGTGCCATCTCACTTCCTTTATCTTTTTTTTCAGACCACATCCCCTTCGTTTACCTCTGAGTTCTTCTGTTCACCACTCTGCACCCTTCAATTTTTTTAAATTTTTATCAGTGACAAAACATCAATAACAGAATATGAACAAAACTTCAAAAACAACAGAGTTGAAAACCTGTACTACAAGGCAGTCTTCAATACTACCTTATACAAAACTTAATCGTTACATTAATGAAATAAATTTGAAATAATTATGATTTCTTTTAGGATTGACTGATTTAATCTTCTTGCAGTCCGAGGGATTCTCAAGAGTCTTCTCCACATTACTTTTTTAGCTACCAATAATATGTTGCAATTTTTTTATTATTAAATGACGGGAATGTCTAAGGCCAAACGTTCAACAGTATTAAGTGTATTGTAAAAGGAATTATATGCCCAGTGATATAAGTTATTTGTTGCAATATATCTTTCCAAAACTTAAGAACTATTGGGCAAAACCTCCAACAATGAATGTATGTTCCTTCCCCTCCATATCCTCGCCAGCAATGAGTTTATATGCACTATTTTAGTTGGTGTGGAATACCATCGGGTGATAAATTTATATGTCTGGCATGGAGGGAATGAGAGGGCCAAATACTTTCCCAAGTTTGATCTGTTAAAGAATTCTCATAATCACACATCCAGGCTTTCTGAAACAATAATGACGTGGATCTGCCATAGCAAAGTAAAAAATTATAAATTTTCGAAATCAATGTTCTTACTTAAGGTTTCCCTACCTCTGAGCTCCCTACATGCTAGGACTTTTCCCCAGTCTCAGATTGCCTCTTTGTGAGGTACAAATCTCAGCAAAATGAAAATGTTACTTTCTCTAAAAAAAAAGCTGTATTGCATACTGTTTACTTCTCTGAGCAACTGAAATGTATATAATTACCAGGGGTCATTTCGTAGAAAAAGAGCTAGGGGGACTCATTAGCATAACTCATTAGCATATGCCACACACCCTGACATCACCGGAAGTGTGTCCTCCCCACAGCCGGCGGCGACCTCCAGCGGGCACCAGCAGGGAGCTCCAGGCCCCGCCCTCCCGCACCATAACGTTTATATATCCCTTTTGGAGAAATGATTACTGGTGCCTTGTATCTCACAACAAGTAATAGGAATAATGTCATGAAATGCCCTAGGAACTTTCTTTGATGGTTTCACACCTTTCTGGTTCCTTCTTTTCGCTTTCCTTCCAAACTCCTCATTCTCTAATCTGCCCTTCATGCTGCTTTTACCATGCAGTCCTATGCAGAATTAATTCTAAACCCACCAAAATACACTGAAGATTGTATTATTAATGTCATTGAGTGATCTGCTCTGATATCACAGAGTGGTAACAGAATCACAGCCACGGAATGGTTTCTGATATTTCCAGTGAAAAGCTACTGGCAGAGACAGGGTTTTAGATCACACTTGTTGCTTATGGTACATAATTTCTCTGGAATAGCTGACATCATATGGTTATGTAGTCACTCACAAACAATACCTTAATTCCATTAATTCCAGAGGGGCAGCCCTGTTAGTCTTTTACTGAAAAACAAAAGTGACTGGCAGAGACAGGGTTTTAGATCACACTTGTTGCTTATGGTACATAATTTCTCTGGAATAGCTGACATCATATGGTCATGTAGTCACAAACAATACCTTAATTCCATTAATTCCAGAGGGGCAGCCCTGTTAGTCTTTTACTGAAAAACAAAAGTGAATCAATAAGGAAGACAGAAAAGAAAATGGATTTACCAAAACGGTTGTACATTTGCATTACAGATTGACTTAAGGAAAAGACAATTTAACCTTAATGCCTAAACCACCCTTTGATATTCTTGCATCTGTTTATCTATTCAAATAATTAATACCTTGAATTTGAGAAAGACTTTTGCTTACTTTGCCAGAGGGTGAGCCAGGGAGAAGATGCCTAGCTCTAGAGCTATTACAGGAAGTTAGATGAGCAGGATTCTCCCCTAAGCTTTTAGGTGTCAGATGCACCAGCAGTTATGAGGGAGAAGAAATGAATCTGCACCACCATAAGCCCCTCAAGACTTTTGCTTCCCACTCTGCAGCCTCAGCTCCCACTTACCCCCTTGGCTACTAGAGCATTTGGATGTGCTTGGCAGAGTAAGAGAGCAGCAAAGTGTCCCCTGGCGCAGGGATCCTGAACAAGGGGGAAAACATTCCAACCAGATTCAGATAGTTGTATTTATTGCTCAGTCACTTATGCAGCTTGACTCTAATTAGCCCCTCTTGGCAATTAACACCCCCTCTACCTATAGGTAACATTTGAGGAAATCTGTTTCAATGTATCTGAAGGAGTGTGCATCTACACATGCTAAGTGTCAAAGTTCTGGCTTATACCCAAAATCAAACTTTTTTGGTTTTGGGGATGCTACTGGACTCAAACTCAGTTCTCACATCTGTTCGTTAACTCTTATATATATGCTAATTTTCTGCTATTCACAGATTTTACCAACCACCTTAATGCAATCTCAGCTATAATTGCCCAGTTACTTATGCTTCTTGACTCTAACTAGCCCTTCTTGACAACTACCCCCGTACCCATATGTAATGGCTGAAGAAGTTTTGTTTCACTGTATCTAAAAAAGTGTACATGCACACAAAAGCTTATACCTTGAATACAACGTTGTCAGTCTTAAAGGTGCCACTGGACTCAAACTTTGTTCCTTATCATTCTGACCAAGCAATCCTGCTCCTTCTTCCTCTGGATTAGAACTGGAAATTTGGGGGCTGTACTCCCAGTCGCTAGTGCAATTTAGAAATGTTTCCCCATTCATAACTGTCATGAGATGCAGCTTAGGAAAATGTATTGGGGTATCTAAATTGATACTTCAAAAATATCATCTCTATTTTTGGGTCAGATCTCTTGTTTCTTGCAAATATTGTATATAATTATTGTGTGATCTAAAACCCCATCTAGTTCCAGATTGTGTTTGTGGGGGGATAATTTTTTTGTGGGGTTGTGATGGACTATGCTTTAAAAGCTTTTAAGTGCTGTATAAACATGTGAAATACCTCATAGAGCCAGAGAGCCTTTGAGTGACAAGGCTGCTCAAAAGGATTTCATTGGATAGTCTCAGTTAAGTAGAAAGAGGTGAGAACTGACTGTGAAAGAGAACTCAGTTTAGCACTGACTCAGGACTGGGAAGGTAGGAAGGAAGGTTGGGAGGATCGCTGAAGAGCCAGAAAAGAGACAGAGCTTCTAGTTAGAGAAGTAATTCCCTCCCAGTTGGAGTGACCCTAGCATGTTTAGAGAAGGATTTTGGGTACATGGTAGTGTGTCCCTGCCTTCAGAAACCTGAAGAGTCAGTTAATCTCAAGAATTTGTACTGGAGTATCTAGCAGACAATGAAATCAAAGCTTCTCATCTCCAAAATTATTTGTGAAAAGCTTAAAACTCTTACTTTCTGGAAACATATGAACTGGAGTTTGTGAAACTACTAAGATACCTCAGAGTTATTATTGATGATTATTGAGAGCCAGTTTGGTGCAGTGGTCAAGTGCGTGGACTCTAATCTGGGAGAGCCGGGTTTGACTCCCCACTCCTTCGCTTGCAATTGCTGGATGACTTTGGACAAGCCATAGTTCTGGCACAGCTGTTCTTGAAAAAGAGCAGTTTCTGTCAGAGTTCTCTCAGCCCCACCTACCTCACAGGGTGTCTGTTGTGGGGAAGGAAAGGGAAAGGAGTTTGTAATCTGCTCTGAGACTCCCTTGGGTAGTGAAGGGCGGGGTATAAATCCAATCTCTTCTTCTTCTCAGACATTTTACCCCTGATATCACCTGACCTTTCTCCCTCTATGTTGAATAAAATATTTTGTTTATTTTTGAACATTCAAAAGCCTCTCGTGCCATTTTCAGAAGTATAAGTTAAGGAGGTATCTCTTCCTTGTCTCAAGTCCCAAGACTGAGCCAGCACTAAAATATAATAATGTGACAGGGTGAGACAGCCACAATCCTTCAGATAAGAAGAAAATAGATAAAAGGGGCTGCCCAGCCATGAAGGAGGGAAAAAATGAAGGAATGATCATGTGTGTGAGGGACGGAAGAGGACAAGATCACCATAAGTGCCTTAAAGACCAACAAGTTTTCCAGGGTATAAACTTTTGAGAGTC